GGAGAGATCGTCCTCGTTGCTGGCGATATGTGCGATGAAGCCCACCGGAAGATCAAAGCGAAGCAGCGGTCTCGGACGGTGCTGGTATCGAGGAGGGAGCACGTGGTGCTAAAAGGGAGTGACGGGAGGAGAATGAGAGCGTACCGTTCGTCTCTGAGGATTGCGGGAGCCGATCGGGAGATCGGGATCGAGATCGATGGCGGGATGTCGGTAACCCTGGATGGAAAGAAGATTATCCATGTGCGGCGGGTCCGATGGAAGTTTCGCGGAAGCCAGTGGGTCGAGATCGGCGATGGTGGAGGTAAGATCTTAATCTCCTGGGATCTGCACTCGTGGTTCTTTCCCGTGAGGGAAAACCCTTCCCCTGCTTCTGCGGCAATCTTCGTCTTCTGCATTGAGAGCGAAGAGGTCGAGAATAGGGTTTCTTGTGAGAAGGTGATGGGAATCGCCGACGGCTGCGGGGGTTTGCACAGGGAATGGGTTTTAGGCAGGAATAGGAATTGGAGCAAATGTACTGGCTGCGGAGGAGGAGGAGGTGGAGTTGAAATGATTAAAGTGAGGAAGAAGAGCTTGTTGAAGAAGTGCTCGTCATCTTCGTCGTTTTCATCGGCCTCGTCGGCGGCGAGCTCGTCGGTGGTGGAGTGGTGGAGCTCAGAGGAGGCGGAGATGCGCGGGGTTGACGGTTTTACCCTTGTCGTCTACGCGTGGAAGAGCTAGCTTCGCTGTGGCATTTGGTAATCTGGAAATTTTCATTTTTATATATATTTTTTAAATATTTTTGGGAATGGTCATTTGTATAGCTTGCTATGTTATATTCGGCTTTAAAAAATGAATAATTTATAAAATAAAATTTTAATTTTGGTCACACTTTTCATTATTTTCAATAATTTTGACGATTTGCTTCTTTAGAATATTAGCAATAATATTTTTTTAAATATTTTTAGGAATTATTTGATTAATTTAAAATTAAAAAACTTATTTGAGTCTGGTTGAATGCAGTCAAAAATCTCAGCGTTGAAATTTAAAATCATGCCGTAAAAATTTTAATTAGTTTTTATTATATTAGTGGAATTAATAAATTTTTTTATTTTTAAAAAATGTAAGTAGAGCCGAAAAGTATGACTATCTATTTATTTTTTAATATATTGATTTAAAAATTAATTTAAATGGAGTATTTCGTACGCCCGTGAATGACCCGGCTGTCAGCACGCTTGCTTAAATTGTACATGACTTTTTAAAAAATGAAAATAGTGATCTATCTGCTCCTTGCAAATTATTTTATGATTTTTTTTTTTTTTTTCTTCAGTGGGTCTGCTTTGTTAATTTATTTTGTTTTGCAAAATTAAATAGTTTGTGAGATGATATGTGATTCAAATGTATGTGAAAAGCAAGATTTGTGAAGGTTTATAGTGAATCAGTGATGCTACTTTAAATTTTGAAAGATCTTTGTAAATAGCCAAGTTGTGAGTGTAATTATCGCATAAAAAAACAAATAAATACTAATTTTTGATGAGGCATCAGCAAATTTTTCACGAATGTCGATGTAATTTTTTAAAGAAAAAATGTTTAAATTTTGATTAAAAATTATTCAAAATTTTATGTTCAATAAGCTGGTGGGCTCGACGAGATAGACCCAATGATGATACAATGATATCATCATTGGTCCAATACAAGTGAAATCAATCTCATAACAAGTTGTTTAACCATTTTGGGAAGCTTTTTAGTTTTATAATTGGAAGGTTAGACAAATTTCAAATCTGACAAGTTTAAAGTCAAATCAAACATTTCAGTGAGATGAATCTAACGAGCCCAGGAGCGTTCAATTCTGACATCATTGAAATACTCAATTGTCCATCGAACACCATCATATCACAAGAAACTCTCCCATATTTTATAAATAGAACTCACCCCTCTCTTGAGAGGAGATCTGGACCTGAGTCTAAATAAAGGTTGAGAGAAGGAGCCGAATCACAATGTCGTTTCTGCACGGAAGATCCGACGAACGCTTCCAGTTCTTGTAGTCACCGACCACAGATGACCCCTGCTCGCTGGGCCCAGTCGACCATCATTGGACACCACCTGCTCTTTATAGCAAAATCTATTGCAGAGCTACAATTTGCTTTGCAGAATTCTAGTGTACATCATGAAATACTGAAGTACCCAACATGATAGTATGTTATCCAATATCTCGTGTAGCGACGCACCGCAAAAATAGTTTAACAACGCACCCTCAATACGGTGCAATGAAGCCTCGCATACGGTGCAATGATGCGCCCTACATACGATGTACCGACACATCCCGATGACGATTTATGATTTTTTTGTTAATATTAAATTTTTATATTTTAAATATGTTGGGTTCATTTTATTATTTAAATTGATTTTAATTTAGTTATATTCAATTTGCCCCTTTTTTAGAGATGAATTTTACATGTGTTAAGATGAAGTTCAATTTTGATGAGATTGATTTCAATTTGTTTTATGAGTTCTAATTTCATTGATTTTAGAATTTTATGTTTAAGTTTTAAATTTAATGAATTTGGTTTTAATTTGTTTTTTAAATTTATTTTAATTATGTTCAATTTTATTTAGGATTATCTCTATCATAGTTGAAGGTGAACGCTAAATCAAGTGCGCTCTCAATCAAGTGTGGTCTCTTTAAACCAAAAAAAGAGCTAACAAAAAAGATTGTAAAGAGATTAAAAAGCATCAAAAGAAGACTAAGCCAAAGACCTAAGTCTCTAAGGTCAAATGATAGCTTAAGGACAGTTCTAATTCTATAGGAGTTCAACTTAAGCTTTAATAACCTAACTTCAATCAACTTAACAATATGTCAATGATTTAAATCAAGTATATGAAACTAAAAGTATTAAAGATTTGGTTTGGATTTTTACATTAAGTTTGACCATTCACTGGTCTTCTAGGAAAACCTCTTAGGAAAACTTAAGACCAAGTCCTAAGTTCTAGAGGGAGAAAGAGGAAGAGAAAGATAAACCTTATCTAAAAATGAGGTCAACATGCCTCCATGACCAACTGACGTTATTATAGTCTTCAACTACAATCTATGTGGCTGACACTATTTCAACCATCAACTATAGTATTTATGACCAACTACTACATTTGTAGCAATAATTATGATATTTGTGGCCTGCTATCACTATTATCTTGAAAAATTACATTTATTGTAACACAATGACAACCATTAAATTTGAATGACTATTGTACACCTATAATTATTACTATTTATCTTCATTAATTCAAGAGAAGTGTGATCTCATACACTTATAATCACATAGAGGATTACTTTGCTTCGGGCATACCTCATGATTTTTTCTCATTCCACGATTTTTTCACGTAAAAAAATCTTTATGGCTCTTTTTATTACTCTTCTTTTTTCTTTGAGCGTGCTAAATTTTCATAAAATGTCGAGACATTAAATTATCACTCTGCGTTGTAAATCTTCCGGCACACAAGCCTATCATTTTTATGTCATCCAATTCAACTCCTTATCAATCTTGGTTGAACATTTAAGCCTTATTTTTTTCTTATATTCAACATTTCATCGAACATCGACAACCATGGTATATACTTGTGCAAATATGCCATTAACGTTTCTTAACTAAGCCAAACAAAAAATGTTTAGGTGAATTAAAGCAAACTCCTCATTATTCATGGCAATTTTTTACCTTACTAATAAGTTTAGAGAGGGAGAGAGAAGCTCTTATTATGTGACTAATAATTATTTTTTATTAATTTTTTTAAAAAAATTAAATTATAGATTATTAATAAACTCCATTTGTTATCTTAAAGATATATTATAATTTGATTAATGTTTCAAGGACAAGAAGAAAATACAAATGAGAAGCTGTTATGGATAAGCCAAATCATTTATTTAATGTGACTTGCTTATTCATGCTCTTTCTATTTTTGAATTGTGCACGACCGTTTGTTTTCTTTTGCATGTGGGATATAACATTGGAGGATGAAGTGCATGTGCTAATAGACATGATGAAGGTCAGGCCGACATAGGTCTGTTAATTCTGTTTCAAAATCAAAATTGGTTTGATATTGAGGTTAATTTAGAATCTTTAACTCATGAAGTTAGTTCACAGGCCAATTCGTGATAGGTAGACTTCGATCGAGTAACTTGTGCATAGTCCCCAACTCAATGCATATTAAACCCACATAAAAGCCATATCATGATACCCCATGTTGTACATAAAAGGGGAAGATCATGATTTACACACACAAGTGGTTATAGGAGTCATACAAAAAAATAGCACATGCTTAGCCCCCCACCCCACACACACATTCCAACTATGCAGGACCCTTCGATTTTTCCAGACCCTACGGATATGCATTACCCATCGGCTATACAGGACCCACTGACTATGGAGGCTCACCGGCTTATGAGGGTCCATCATATGATTTACAACGGATAACATCTATTGAAGGGAACTTAGATTTAAATTTTCGGAGCATTCCCATGACTGCGCCTACATCTGATGTAGGGCTATTTTTCGGCTCACCTCCAATTTATATACCACCAGTATCCATGAATGAAGAATTATTTTGTTCCTTAACAAGCCACGAACGACGCAACTAAAGACAATAATGTTGAAGAAGAATTTTAAGACCAATAGTTGCGAGAACGATCATTGCGACCGCTTTCTCGATATACACAAGGTTCATGAGACATTCCACATCGGGGAAGAAGATTATTGTATTATGAAAACATTATCGTATGATAATATTTTATTGTGAAATAATTTTTTAAATTTAATTTATAGTTTATTCTATCATTTTGTTTGCTCATGTGTATTTTTTAATTAATTTGAAACCCTCTAAAGAATAATTAATATAGTATGATTTTATTATTTATTTTAATAATAAGATTATGTGTAATATTTCTAATATTAATATATAATATCATATATTATTAAAATATATATATTAAATAGGAGGGGGCCTTTCCTATTTAAAAGAATTTTAAAAATTCTCCCATCTCAAATGCTCCGGAAATATTTTAGACTGGAAAGGTTTTTGAGTTATACCCTTGAAACCCTTGAGAAGCGCAGAAGGCTCAGCAAGAACTGCAAGCTCCTGGAAGAACTCGACTCCCATGGCTCGCCTCCTCTCCCTAGCACGTAGATCCCTCTACCTGAAAACCCTAGCCCGAACACCTCCGTTCATCTTATCATCTTCTCGATCATATATATCCGAGATGCGCCGCTCCGCCTTCAAGGAAAACCTTCTCCGCATCCTCCGCACCGAGATCACATACGAATCGGAATACCGTCCTCCCCTACCGGTAATTATCCCATAATCTCCAATCCGCCTTTCTATCCTTCGAAAATTTAACTCTTGCCGATACCTATATGTACAATAACGCTTTCTCCAGCCGGCAACGAGCTTCGATTCATTCTCAGTGGAGGATAATCCGGGTGAGCAATGGATTCGGCTGAGGCGTAAGTACGGTGATGCAGAAGACATTAAGATTGACGCCACCATGTTCGACGGAGCTTATCCTCCTAAGAAACCGCCGGCGGATGGAGGGGAGGAGGAACCTCGATTGCACATTAGCGTTATTGTGGAGGTATCCAAAAGCAAGGCTTCGGATTTTTTCCTGCAGTTTGTCTGCTCGGCATGGTCCGATTCTCTCGATGTGGAGAAGGTCTTTCCAGTATCCCGTGGTACCGCGGCGATCAGGCCCTTCATGGGACCTAATTTTAAGTAATGATTTCGTTGTGTTTTTGTTTGTAAAATGCTTATTAGCTTTGGAAGAGAATCTGGCATTGCTATGAGCTAAAAGCTGGGTGGTGGACTGCTAGTCCATCGTTTCTTGGCTCTGCCATTGGGATAACTCAAAAATACAAATTTTATAAACCAGAGAAATACATTATATTGTATCAAACAACTACTTAAATGTTCTGTTTGCATATACAAAATCATATTCTTTCTTTTCTAGTTAAAATTTTGTTGGAATCTTCCAGGGAGTTGGATGATGAGCTTCAGGATGCAATAAGGAGTTACTTGGAGGAGAGAGGGGTGAACGATGAGCTTGCTGAGTTCCTACATGAGTACATGGCAAATAAGGATAAGTTGGAGTTTATTCGTTGGATGAGGAATGTAGAGTCTTATGTGAAGAAGTAGAGTATTTCCTACGCATCAAATCGTCTATAACGGGTTGGTTCAGTCTCACATTTTCTTATATTGTAAGGTTAATTTTTGTTTTGTTAGTTGCTTTTGAGTAATGCTTTTGAAATGTTTACTTTTGAATGGGATATAAATTCTTTGCTTGAATGTGAAGCTAGCATATAGCCTGTGTACATATGACAAACTGTCTTCCTTGTAGTTTCTTTGGAAAAGAATGCGTGTTGGAGTGGGGCATGCATATGCAAATTTTCTAGATGTTATAAGCATAGCAAATTATGAACCCTATTTTTTTGTGGAATATCTCTTTACTTTTTATTTTATTTTAAATCTATACTAAAACAATCTACTGTGGGCAACTTTTTCCTTGCCAAACCATGAAAAAAATTATTAAATAAAAAGCTTTATGTGATTTTTATTGAACTTGATAAGACGTGCAATCAGATATCAGAATACTTGATTTGTTATACATAAAGGAAAAGTACATGCTTTGTGAAAGGTATGTTGAAATTATTTAAGATATGTACTATAAAACATTTTTACTATTGGAAGAAATTCTAGTGTAACCATGCAATTTTCAATCACGATAGGTGCAACCAAGGATCAGCATTAAGTTTTTATCCTTTTGTATTGATGATGTAGATGCTTGCGAAATACATCCACGATGAGGTGTCTTGCTCTATATAATGACATTTTAATCAATGCGGCTTTTATTAAAAAAATTGAATTGTATTGCAGTGGAGAAAAGTTTTATAAGTTAAATTGACTTTGGATTAGTTAAATAATTTTTTAGCGTATGTTGTTATTTTAGTAGTCTTGATATTACCACTTGTTAGCTCCAAATAACTTGAGATAAAATTATAACTAGGAGTGTTAAGTTCTAGATTTTAGATCAGCTACATAGTTGAATGAAGATATAAACTAGGATATAACATCTATGATTTAAGTTGGTGGTTAAAAGAATTTTCAGTAGTACTATATGATTGGAGAATATCATGGAGACTTAAAGATAAATGTTATAAAATTATAAATTTATAAAATATAATTAGAGCATCTATATTGTATGAATATGAGTGTTAGACAATAATTAAGTCATTGGTAGACAAATTAAGTTGATACTTATGATGAGGTGTCTTGCTCTATATAATGACATTTATAGAAAATATAGTGATGCTTGTGAAAGACATTCGCGATGAGGTGTCTTTCTCTATATAATAACATTTTGATCGACACGAATTTTACTAAAAAAAAATTGAATTGTATAGTAGTGGAGAAAAGGTTTATAAGTTAAATTGAATTTGGACTAGTTAAATAATTTTCGAGCGTATGATGTTATTTTATTAGTCTTGATGTTAACATTTATTAGCTCCAAATAACTAGAGATAAAATTATACCTAAGCATGTTAAGTTCTAGATTTTAGATCAGCTACATAGTTGAATGAAGATATAAACTAGGATATAACATCTATGATTTAATTTGGTGGTTAAAAGAAGTTTCAGTAGTACTATATAATTGGAGAATATCATGGAGACTTTGAAGATAAATGTTATAAAATTATTAAATATAATTAGAGCATCTATATTGTATGAATATGAGTGTTAGACAATAATTAAGTCATTGATAGACAAATTAAGTATGATACATATGAAAAATTCATGATAAATGTATGATAAAACTAGGAAGAATAGATTGAAGAATGAATGTATTTAGAGGGATGAAGGTAGTAGCATCAACTGAAGACAAAATTTTGAAATATAAATTAAGGTGACCTTTGGACGTACATTCAATGATTGAAGATGCACCGATTATATATATTGTTATATATAAAATAGATGGGTAAATCAATGGCAACTTCGATGGAAGTTGCGCACAAGGATTTGCATAAAATATGTTCAACACCTCATGGAAAGCACATCATGGACAAAAGGAGATTGTTGGTCCATTAAGCCAACCCGTTTTAATAGAGATAAGGGTAATGATGATGATGCTAATGTATATTTTTTCTCTCCATTTTAAAGCTATTTCATTATTGCGATATAGTAATTGTGTTATTCTTTTTGATTATTGTCCTAATTCCTTATCTATCTTCTTTAAAGAGAGTTAATACAATTTTTTAAATGTTATTGGTGTTGATTTATGCATTTCTAGATTGATGAAATTTTAAAATTGCAAGTTTTCATGTAAGGCATTAACAATTTTTTTGGTAGTAACACAATTTCACTTTTTTTGGAAGTATCTCTCAATGAGTTCAAAAATTAAGGAGCCAAGAACAAAATAACAAAATCACTTTCAGTTGGGCTAATAGAAATAATTTATTTAGAAATATAATTAAGAATTAAATTAATAGGTTTATCAACTTTTGGCAGCGTGCAACGTGATTTTTTAACATTCAAATTCATCAATTATGTTATCAATTTGATAAATTGGCTTATTAACTACAATTGATGTGATTTGTTAGAAGCTCAACCACTTAACGTTCATCTTTAAGAGGTTCTATGAGAAGTTCAAATTCTATTATAATTTAAGCTCATATATAATTGTAGATTTATTTTTTATTTGAGGTTTAGATTCATAGTTGATCATGCTTAAATATTTTTTCAAATTTAAATTTTATTTCTTGCTCAAGCATAAGTTAATACTTATGAATATAATCTAATACTTTTGTTGATTTACACTCATTAGCATCAATTGTTTTTAGTGGGACATCTAGATCTTCAATTAATTCATTTTTTAAATAATCATGAGTATTAAACCTCAATTTCATGACAAAAAAATTTGTTGATAAGATTAGAAACAACTCTGCGTTATTTATAAATTGATTTATGTTAGGCATGGTTGAGAGAGAAGATGATGATTTATGTGTTGGATGCTGGTAAATTCGCGACGGTGAGTTATATATTAACTTTCTAGCATTATATTAAGATTTGACATACACACAAATAATAATAATAATAATAATAATAATACTGATAGGGAGAACAACAAGAGTTTTTACGTGAAAAGCCCAAAAGGGAAAAAATCACAGTGTCTAGTCCAGTTGAAATAATTCTACCATGCCTATGTAAGCTGCAAGACCTTGCCGACACTCAGATAGCCAGAATATTACACAAATGGGGGTTATTGCATGACTTCCGCTATGGGAGTAGTGGAATACATTGTGGAAGTGGCGGTGACCAGGCTGTTGTTAAGGAAGTCCAACTATAGAGATCGGGTGCCAAAAAATATGATGTAAGTGTTGTCAGTATCGACAACCGGATAGTGGTGGTCCAACAACGACGACTACCAAACGACGGTGGTCCGACGTCGACAACCAAACATTCATGTTCTAGTGGTGACAATATTGGTGGTTGAATAGCAATGGCCCGATGATGGTAATGACTAGACAGCGGTGCTACAGCTGTGGCAACGATGATGGCCGAGCAGTGGAGGGTCGATGATGACAGTGGCTGACGACAGTATTTTGATGGTGGTGGAGCTCATGAGCCCTCAAGTGCTTGAAGATCTTTTAGCCCTCTCCTTTAGGTCCAAATTCCCCTTCATAAAAAGAGTAGGGGTCTATTTATAGATTTGGTGAGTGACATTCTTCGTAAATATCACATGAATTTGAACCACTCCATCGGACAATTTAGAGTAATCTCTTTGATTAAATGATGTTTTATGAGTATTTAATAGCCTTAATGATGTTAGTAATAAACGATCTTGAGCTCGTTGTATTTTTCTAGTCGAGATACTTGATTTTATTATAAACATTTTAGATTTGGAGATCATTTGACCTCCCTAAATATATTTAAAAATCTTTTTTTTAAGCTTTAAGCGCTAGATCTGTGCTCACTTGGACTCGAATCGAACTATATTTGATGTTAGCATGCTCGTCATATGAGCACACTTCATTTGAATTGGAGTATGAGTAATTAAATAGTTGGAGCTCATTGAGATTCGTGCTTGATTAAGCCAGTTTTTTGGGGACTTCTTAATATTTAAGAAATGTGATCTATTTCATTTCTCATTTCGTCTTGTTTTGTTTAAATTTTTTTATTGGTTTTGCAAGGTAATCAAAATTGCATGCTTTTGGTAATCTATTAACGAACGATGATAATATGTTTCACTTCTAGTTATACGACCTTAGGCCTGATACTAATTTTATTATCTTTTTAATCACTTGACTATCAAGTCATATCTTACAACTAATGTCCTTTGGTTAAGTAATATAGGAATAACACAGCGTCTCACTTTCTTTTATAAATACTTTCATAAGCAGTTCATCTACTTGTTTTTTATGTTCCACATGCTCATTGGGACTCTTCCTATTAATATGTTACTTAGGTATTAAATATTATTGTTGTTTATAATAATTATAAAAAAGCAAAAAGTCTTACAAAATGAGGGTGAGCAAAGTAAAAGCTACAAGTTATGATGATTTATAATAAATATGATAAAAAAGATGGAGGAAATGAGATATATAAATTATCTAAAGTTTGAAGACAAAGAATCCATAGAATTCAATGAAGTTATATACTTTAGAAGACAGGTTAATATAATCTTTGTTAAAAATAAGGAAATACAAAGAAAAATGGAGTTGTTGTTTTGAAAAATTATTGAATAGGAGTTTTAAGCCATAAAAAATTTTAGTGGAGTAGACTATCATGTAATATTTTTCATGATTTGTATTTGTAATTTGTGAGACATTAATTAATTTAAGTGAATTAAAATAATGAAGATTTTTTTTTAATATAAAAGGCTTAGAATTGGTTGAACAAATACCCAATATATGATATGAAAGTTTAGGGAGATATTAATGATTATCAATTGATATTATCAATAAAGTTTCTTATGTAGTTAGAATTTATTATAGTAAAATGAGAATCTTGATGCATATAATTTTCCAAGTCAAGTTTAGGTGGTGAAAATGGCATTGCATCTCACGAACATTATGTGATAGGATGATATCAGGGCGAATTAAAAGGTAATCTTTACAAACCAGCTAATGATCTTGTGTGGTTTATAAGTAAAAGTGAAACAAGGCAAATAAAAAAAAAATTCTAGACTTGACTTTATTTGTTATCATAAAGTTGAGCATGAATAAGCTCCAGTTTATTAAGTTGCTAAAAATAATTATATAAGGTTTGCATATTTTTTAATTGAATACGAGCCGAACATTAACAAGCTCAATAGATGAATAAAATAATTTGTATGTGTGTGTCTGTGCATGAACATGCACGTGCATGTGTCGTTATTAATGTTCTACTTTTTTGAGAGTTGTATAATTTCATGATATAATTGTTTGGAGGGATAAAGTTTATATTATTATTTATTTTATATTATTATTATTTACTATTAATATTGATCATATTTAAGTGGATGGCTATAATATTCTAAGCTTTTGATTTGAAATCTAATACGAAAAAGAATGATTTCTTTGATTTATATATATGTTTCATCTAAACCAAAATAACCTCATACTTAGCCTGGTGTAATCTTATTAGCGTCCAAGTTTGAATCTCATTCGTAGAAGCTTTTTGGAAATCCGAAAAGTACTTTTGAAAAATTACAAAATGCCAAAAATGTACTCTCAGTTTATTAAAAATAATCCAATTTATTAAAAAACACATATAAACAATTTTTGTTCTCTTTTTAACATTTTTTCTAGTCTAAGAAAAAAAATCGAACTTGCTTTTAAAAATCAATTTTTGGAAGAGAAAGAAGGCTACTGCAATGTATATTCAAGGAAGAAAAGAGTTTATCAAGGATAAATTAAATGGATATAGTAGTTCTAGTTGAATGTACTATGCGAGGATATTTGGTGGCTATAAAATATAAGATAGAAATTCCATGAGAGATATTATATTTAATAGCATTTATTTTATGATCTTGTAATAGTGAATGCATAGCTTAAGCAATGAGATGGACACTTATTTTCAAATGTGAAGTCACCAAATCATAAATAGATCTTTTTTTTCTTATAGTAAATTTTTTTCTTACCAAGATCGCAAAGTGATTTTAAGATTAGAGTAAGAGTTATGAGTATATATCTTTAGAGTATTAAGAAGAAGATTAAGAAGTAATTGTCGGGATGATGTGGTTGAATTTAGATGTTGAGAAATTCTTAATCTTACAATAAAAGTTGCAAATGGTTAAATTGAAAATTTTATTAGACCAATCTTATATGAAATAAGGCAAGTAATTCCTTTAAGAAGATTATTGTGAAAATATTAGGTGTCTAAATATAGAGCCTACATAACAAGACTTGTAGGAGTGATGAAGGACACGGTTATTTCATAAAGCATGTATTCTTTTATAGTGTTGCAAAAGTTTATTATTTTGTAGGCTTATTATGATCCTAAAAAAGCTAAAAAACTTGCATGGATGATAGCGAGCAATGCAAGATATAATTTTGATGATTTGTAATAGGTTTGATATTAAGGAATTAAAGGAGATAATACAAAAAGTTAAGCCTGAAGATAAATAGTTTCTTAGATGTATCAATTTATACACGTTAGAAGCAAAGATAATGGAAACTTAGTTAAAAATGAAGTCATCAAGAGAAAAATTTATGCTATTTTGAAAAATTATTAAATAGGAGTTTTAAGGAAGAAAATTTTTTAGAAGACCATAACAAATGAGATAACAAGGTTTATAGATCGATTTAAAAAGCAGAGCTAACTTTGAACCAAATCATTAAAGATAAAACTTTAAGTCTGACTTAAATGCCTTTTTAGATTTAGAGACTTAATGAGAGATGCAGTAATAGTTTGGTTATCAAATTTGTTTCAGGGGATTTGAACACAAAAGGCTTATTTGGCCGAACACATTATTGGTAAATTTGGCTTTGATAAATCCTAGTCAAATAGGATTTGAGTGGATTTAGTAAATCTCCATCGTAAATTTGCTTGGTTCACCAATTTATAAATCCGATAAGATTGTTGAACTGATTGATTGCAAGTTAAATGATCTGGAGGGTTTAAAGAGATTTGATAAATCATGCTGAAACAAATTTCTTAAATCTTCATCTTATTAAGATTTGATATATTCTAGATTTGAGCCAAGATTTTTCAAATCCTGTTAAATTCATGATTTACATAAGGTTGGATTTAGAAAACTTCCTTACAAAGCATTTTGAAAGGATTTAGGCAAACCAAAACTTAATTAGTAAGTAAAGCTGGTAGTGGAATGGCCTGTATGGCAAATTTATCGGAGAAGAAACATATTCTTGTTTTAGAATTTAAGAATAAAAGATTTGTATAAGATTATATTAATTATAGAGCAAGCAAACTTATGAATCTTCCAATAAAGTTATTTGAGAGAGAGAGAGAGAGTGTGTGTGTGTGTAATGGAATATGAGTTTATAGACAAATTATTCTAGTTTCAAATAATCAAACTGGCTTCGTGCTTGGAAGATTTTATGAAAGCAATTTTTATGTTATGAAAAAAAAGGTATAAAAAACATAAAGAAGAAGCGGAAGATCTAGTACAATGACAATTGCTTTAATTTTGAAGTGTGGGTATCAAAATCTGGTGAGGATGTTAAGAATATGTATGATTGAGCACTAGCTGATATTAGAAGTTGTTATGTATGAAACAAAGAGTACTCAAGTATAGGAGAATTATATTATAGATCAATATTGAGTCTATGCTATTTTTTGTTGCTTTGGGAGATGCTTACTAGTATTTTCAATGTGAGATACCTTGTTTTATGCTTCTCATGGATGATGGTTGTAATTTGTGAGACATTGATTGCATTAAGTGAAAATTAAAAAAAAAATGAATAAAATATTTTGAATTTAAATTACATGGAATTACTAGGTTAAATATTAAATATATGATATGAAAGTTTAATGTCTACATTAACGATTATCAATCAATGTTATTAAATAATAAAAATGATTGCCTAGTTGGAATTTATTGTGCAGAAAATTAAAATATCAATGAGGATATACCTTTAAGAAATAACTGTTAGTGGTTAAAATGCAGACGTACCGTAGAAATATTATGTGATAAGAGGATATCATGATGAAATAAATAAGCAAATAGTAGAGAATAAGGGAAAAATTACATGTGGTTGAATACTCATATTTATCATTGGCAGAAACTTGGCCCAATTTATAGAGGTTTATAAATGGAAAAAATATGGCAAAAAATAAAGGTATCTTAATAAGAAAGGAAATATAAACATTTGCAACATGTTTTTAAATTTAAAAAGCATTATATGTATATGATAAAATTTCATGGAATAGGCTGCATACAACTAACACCTCCTGCATTCCAAACCAATGGAAATTACAACCTTTAATCCATTAATTCTAGCTATTGTCCAGCCAAACCTCTCATTTCATCAGACAGTTTTAGACTGCTTTTCTTTTAGAAAGATAGAAGCCTTTCTTCTCACACATCTTACACCGATCATCCGCATTTGAAAGATTGAGATTTAAAGTAGCTTATCGCTAAATACTTAAAGCCACTTTAAACCTTTAGAATAAAAGAATAAGGATGAGTGGTGTAAAGATGCACAAGGGCAAAGGCTCTTATCCTTCTAAAAGGATTATAGTGTAACACACCAATATATATATTTATATTTATTTATTTATGCAGGCTTAAAGTGCTTTTATGCAAAGCTTTTTTATTAGCTTATCAAAAAAAAAAAAAAAAAAAGATAGAGCTATGTGTAAAAATGAACTCTTCAAATACATCAAAATTTATGTAGTGTAAACCTTTAAAATTGAGAAAATTAATGACTGGTGTTATGGGAATTATAGGAAAGACTATATTTAGTTTTGTAACATCTTGAATAAAAATGAGCTGAAAATAAGGTTCTGATGGATGCAAGGTTCCTTGACAAAGCTATGGATGATTGTAACTTCGGGTGACCCGTTGAGGTAAAGTTCTTTGGATGCAATATAATTTTGCATTGGGAGGCATTTGCAACATGTTTTCACTGGCAAGCTAAGATATTGATGGCATTGATTTGTTTCTTTTAGCAACTTTTCACAAATTTATGATTTTCACAGGTGTTTTCTGCAATACAGCAATGCAAGCAGTAGTATAAGATCAAAGTGAAATATATGGGCATCTAACTGACAAAACTATTTGGTTCAAGGTGTGGCAGAGATCTTTTGTTGGTAAATTGATCATCTGGTTGTGCCAACCGTGATGTAACTTTAACAAAGTAGTACAAGCATCTTTCACAGTTCAAGCTTTTGAAGCAGGGAGTTGGCACCACCTGATACCTCATTGCTTGTATTCCATACATCTCAGTAAAATTATGGCTCCTCAATTCTTACCATTTGCAAATTTCATGAAGAAATTTGCATTACTTGGCAGATTTTGCATGAAACAGCAGAATTATGCCTGTAAAAGAACTGCTTGTTTCTTATGAATCTATTTAGCAATTTATCTCTGATGTTACTTCATCTCCTCTAATGATTTGATTGTGGCACACTTACATGCATTGGTTTGAAAGTTCGAAAAATTACTTAGGTGGCCGATTTATAATTAGCAATCTTTTTGGTGCTCTGCATGTAATTATCCCTTAAATGTTTTCTATTCATGCATCTTTTTCTTGTTGAGGATTACTCTCACATCATTTTCATCAACTTTGTCAAGTGTACTAGAAGTATGTTCAAATCACCGGCTTACTTTGTTATATTATTCCATCCATGCATATAAAATTCGCTAAGGTAAAGCTTAGAACTAGACTAAAATAAAATTTTAATTAGTTATATTAATTATACCTTTATTTATAATTTAATGAGTATTCTCTATCAAACTAAACACCTCACATACTATATATATATATATAAAAAAAAAAATATGTTGAAATACTAATTATCAACATGATTATTATTTTAATTAATATTCTTATTAATAATTATTAGTAAAAGGTATAAATTCGTTGATATTAGAGATGATAATGAATGTGAGAATATATATATGACTAAGAATGAGATGCGAGTTAACAATTCATTATATAGATGACTGACGAAAATCAAAGGGGTGATGAGAGTAATCTAGACTTTAAAATTAAAAATTCAAATGCTATGGACTTGTTATATTCGTATTTAAGTAGGGTGTAATATGAGTGAAAGAGAAGATTAATATTGAGTTTATTTTGATTGTTATGCATTGATATTTTAGTGTTTTATTTTATGTCTTACCTTACTTTGAAAGTTTAATATTTGTATGACCCATCATATATCGTAAGTTGATACTTCTAATTTTATGTAATTTCTTACCTTTTATTTAGTTAGAATGATGTTATATTACATTTTATTTGTTAATAAATTAGAATATTAATATATTATTTTGTCATCACACTTTATAGTTTATGCAGTACTTATCAATTTATGCAAATTTAAGCATGCATATGTAAGGTGGTATAGATGTAAATAAAACTTGAAGTTTAGGTGTCATTTATGTAAATTCATAAGAATTGAGTGGTATGTAAGTAAATATTCTTCTAGCTTATAGTCATCTACCATTTCTCCTTTTGTTTTAATGACATGTTCCATAATCCATTCATTCCTTCACCTTTCGCAACTTGTCATTTCCTGCATCAATTTCGGCTTAATCTTCCTAATCTCTATTAAAAAAACATTAATCACGTATAATTAGTTAGCAGAGCACCCTCTTTGTACACTGCCTGATTGGCAAAATAAGCCAGATGGTCTCTTTACCTCTTTACACAACATTAATCTTTTTCTTAATTCAATTCTTGTCTTTCATACTTTATAATATTTTTTGTTAAGTGTTTGGTTTAGATTATTGCAACCGCAGCAGCTTAAGTCCTTCGTTTGACATTGGCAAGGCTTATCAGGCATTTTGGGTCCCAGTAAATCTGTTTTCACTAAGGATTCATCATGCAAATCTTCATGCTTTTCAAACATTTACCTAACTATGGCCACCAACATATAAAATATATGTATAAGGTTTAATATGTAATTTTGCATAGAAAATAATGTTTCAAAGGGTTATATGTTATCCAAGCATGAAACCATTCTCATATTTGTTGCTGAGGTCACTTTCAGTACAGAAAGATGCATATTTGTCTACTGTTTATGTCCCACTTACACAGAAGCTGATTAGTTTGTGTCTGGAGTATAAAGTCATCATCAAGCATGTTTATCATGTTTATGCCTCTCTTAAGTTCACATTAGTCTCATATGAAGATTTGAGGCATTTATGTAATGACACTACATTGTAAATGAGCCGAGCAAGCTCGTTAACGAGCTGACGAGTCAAGAGTATTTCAATGCATTTTTCGGCATCTTTCGGTTAGCTGTCGCTGCTTCCTGCTTCTCATCCGTCCACCTATATCTTCTCTGATGAGCTCGCGTAAAAATTGATTTTTTAGTTCGACCTCGCGCGCCCACTGCTATCACAAGCTCGATGTCACCTCCCAAAAGAGCCCTTATGGGTGATGGGCAGCCCAGGACTTAAATACTGCTTTTCGGCCCTACACCTAGCCGATGTGAGACTATTTGTCCGTGACATTCTCCTCCACCCAATCACGTGATGCCCTCATCACGGATCGGCTCCACCGAGGGTCCCACTGGACAATGGAGAGTCGGCAGACAATAATCTGCTCTGATGCCACTTGTCACCTCCCAAAAGAGCCGTTATGGGTGATGGGCAGCCCAAGACTTAAATACTGCTTTTCGGCTCTCCACCTAGCCGATGTGAGACTATTTGTCCGTGACATCAAGCTCGAGCTCGAGCTCACAATTTGACAGATGAGCTAAGCTCGATAATATGACAGACTCAAGCTCAACTCGACTCATTCACACGACTACATACCACCCAATTACTATCTACTTACACATCTAGCTAACACTTAAAACTTTAGTTTTTATATTTGTACCACTAAAATCTTTCATCTTGCAGAAAAAAAACACTGTTATTTTTGTACTTTTAAATAGTAAAATATATTTATATATTTAAAAATTGAAGGTTATGTGTTAGATATATAAATACACAGGAATTAAAATGATCTCACGGCATCTTTTTAAATTATTATTTTTATTGTTCTATTTTTAAAATCATGCCAGCTTGGTTGCGTGTGGTGCGCTCTTGGTAATGGTAAGTAGCCACAAGGATAAGCGACAAGAAATGAATTTTTAAAGATATGTTGAAGAAATACACAACTCTATTAGTCATGTAGATTAGTGATAAGGAAATATACTATTATTAGAACTAATCAAAATATTACAAATATGATACGCTTAATTTAGTCAAGGAAGCCGGATAATCCATCTTATGATAAGCATTTAGTATTGAGCTTAAGTTTTGATTCTTTCCTAATTAGTAATTAAATATGAACAAGTATAATATATGTACTTATGATTGCATGAAAATGCTATTTAATTGGTTGGGGGCTCAAGTTTGGACCTAGTCCGCGATGATTTTAATTATGATTAGTTGGGTTGCATCCAAAGTAGGAGTGTAACTGTCAAGCACTCAGTGAGCCAGCTGGAGCTCAATTTGATAAATGGCTCATGAGCTGTGCTCGGTGAGCTAACAGCCCAGACTCAAGCCAACCCTAACTCAACTCGTAAGCATAAGAGTCAGCTCGCTTCAAAAAATATTAATAAAAAATATGTTCAAAATATTATCTTTAATTTTTCTTAAAAAAAAAGTTTTAATATTGATATTTTTTTATTATAACCCTAGTTCAAATTAAAATTACTTTTTTTTTCTATTCAAAAATAAATTTGATGTTTCGTGAGCCAACTAGAACTAATGAACTTAATCTTGAGCTCGAGCTCGAACTCAATTAATTAATCAAGTACAAGCTAAATCCAAGAGCGGCTTGAGCTCGACTTGACCCGTTTACACCCCAAGTCCTAAGTGAGAACTTGATCATATCTAATTGGACAATACAAATTGTATAATAGACTTGATCAAGATTAATTTCTAGCTCTTCTCATTAAAATAGCAAAGCAAGGTTTTCTTTTGTTTTTCTTAGCTAAGTTTGTTAAAATACTCTATTTTCATATAAAGAATTATGTATTTACATACAATATCCTTATGTATTTATATATTTATAACACTCACATCATCCCTATCATATCAATAACATCACTATCATTGATTCTTAATAAGTATTTATTTTTTTTCAAAAAAAAAAAAATACATTTCCAAGCAAAGATAAAATACCATAAATATAAATATGAAAGTAAATATAAATATGAATTTTATACTAAATTTAATTTTGCACATCCTCATGCGAAGGCTTTAATAGTTTTCTCAGAATGCAATTTACAAAATTGTCAGGGACATGCAGTGCAATTGCCATAAAGAACCCCCTCTGATTCCCAAACTGGTCTTATTCGATTCAAAGTATTCCAAATTTACTGCCGGCTTTGTTGCCATTGACTTCTCCTCCTCCTCCTCCTCCTCCTCCTCCAGTGGATGCTAATAACGCCCATATCTCCTGTAATTTATTTAATTACCAAATTAATGCTTCATTTAATCCCTGCCATTAATGGCATAAAAATTCAAATCTCAAAGAAGTTAGTGAATCTCACTTGTATAGTAAACAGGAAAGCTGCACTGAAATTACAGACATGTTTAACGTGTAGATAATTTATGTGGGTCTTAATTGCGATTTTTGTCGCATAATATTCAAATTACAATTATGGCATGAATTGTAATTTAAATTTACTATGAATGGCTTTGATTACTACGGGTATGTTTGGGGCAGCTGCAGCTTATTGAGTAATCTGTTGATAATTTAGGTGCGGTGGCTATTACAAATTTCTATTTTTTTAGAAAATTCAGACCACAGCCAGAATGCTCTGCCATCGCACCAAAAATAGGTACGGTGTGAAAACACTGCTTTCGACGTTTTGAAAATGCAGTTTACCTAAACTGACTTGATTCGTTTTCAAAACGCCACCGCAGCAAATAAGCTGCCCCAAACATGGCCTACTTTTAAAGTTGCAAATAACAATTTAAGAAAAGGAAAAAAAAAAAAGAGCTTGTGAATTACAAATCTATCCTTGCTTTTATTGATTAAATATATAATATTATTTAATTTTTGTTTTTTACTCAAAAGTAGCCGTCCGTGTAGTGATAAATTTAAATATAAATAATCGAATTTTTATAATAGATCATATTCGAATAACAATGATAAACAAATTACACAGCAAATATGTTTCAAGAATTTGCAACCAAAAAAAAAAAAAAACAGTAATAATCTGAGAAATCATTTGAGGAGCTACATACACTATCAATTTATGAAGAAAAGAAAATCATCTATCGAAAGATCAATTTTTTGATCTTCTCCATTAAAGTTTAAGCGACAAATCGAGCTTATGAGCCTCCTCCTTCCCTTCATTCAACAGAGCCCCCGTTCCCATCCACCTGTAATGAAACCCACCCTCCGCCGCCATCACCGGCGGCGGCCCCCCGCCATCACCGGCGGCGGCGCCACCACCTCATCGAACCTCACACCCGCCCCCTTAAACATCCCTCCCATATAATCCTCCGGCAACAACCGCCCCACCCCCGCGGCAACAGGCGTCCTGTACCACCCCTGCCTCGCCGCCACCATGCCGGAAACCATCCCCGGCGTTGACGACGAACCGAAGTACGATTTATGAACCATGGAGTGCGCTTGGATTCCCAGCGGCCGGAGAGGAACCCCGGCGAAGAAGCGGTGGTCGTCCACCGGTGCTGCGCGGCCGCGTTTCGCCAGCTGACGTTCTCGCTTGTGAGCATTCTGGTGGCCGCCGAGAGCCTGCGAGCTGTAGAACTTTCGGCGACAGTAGTTGCAGGAGAAGACGCGTTGCTCGGCGGCCTCGCAGGCGGGATCGGCCGGGGACGGGGGAGTGGGCGGCGCAAGGGTTGCGGTGGCGGCCGCCGACATGGAGGCGATGAGATCGAGCTCGACGAATGGGGAAGAGTCTTGTTCCATGATGATGATGATGGTGATGATGATGTTGTGTGGTTTTGAGAATATGTGAAGTAGATGTTGATGCTTGATATAAAGGGAGGAGGGAGGGAGGAGAAGTAGGAAAGAGAGAGAGAAAAAGGTATGGTAATAAATGTTAATGGTGAGGAGAAGGAAAGGGGAGGGAGTGTGGGTTTTAACAGTTACGTGTGTCTTGGCGGAGAGCATGGTTGGAAAGTTTTAGGGATGTATTTAAACTTGTTTCTTTTAGATTAGGGTTTTGTATTTATTGCATCTGCATGTTGTTTAATTGTTATTTTCATTACTTTTTTTTAGTTGTTGATTTTTTGTTTGGATTTGTAGGATGTTGATTGGAGATGGTATTAGGAATTTGTAGAATTGAGCTTGAACGGTCAGCTGAGTGGGTGTAAACGAGTCTGTGTAAGTTTGTGTGACTCTTAATTTGAGCTTGAGTTTGATTAGTTAAACTAGTTTGTGCTTAAGATCAAGCTTGATTCTATGAAATAGAGCTGACTCACTAACTGGCTTGTTTATGTTGAGAAAGAAAAAATAATATCAATTTTAGACTGTGTTTTAGTAGAATGAGCAGATGGAAGATAAAATAATAGAAAATCACTCTATATAAAATGTAAAATAACTTTTTTTTGTCATTTTTATAATAGAAAAAAGTAGGGAATTTTATTACATTTTGAGATTATTATTATTATTATTAATGTGTGCTAGAAGATTTAACACACATTTAGACAAAAGAAAAGAATCAGTATAGACACCATAAGTTCTTATGTGGAAAACCCGTAATTAGAAAAATCCATAAAGTCTGACCCAGTTGTAAAAATCCACTGTAAATTGATGATTACGTAGACCCCTAATCTCAAAGGCGGGAAAGGATTACAAAGTCCCTCGAATTATATTGCCGACATGCAGATGAACATGTTGCGATGAATGAGTAGCGATCGATAGTAATTTGTGACGTTTGGCATGTTGTGGTTGATAGTGACTGGCGGTGGTCGACAATGATCAACGGTGGTCGACAACAATCGACAATGGTCGATGACGGTCAGCGACAGTTGATGACAGAAGGTGGTTGTCGACGACGGTCGGCGGTGGTCGACAACGACAGAAGTGATGCTGGACTTCAGCTTCTTCTCAAAGCTTCAAGCTCTCATCCCAGGCCTCAAGCATTCTCCCTTCATGAGAGGGGTGGGGCTCGGTTTATAGACTTATGGGTACAATTAATGCAGTAATACGAACCACTTTGATTAGATGAGTCAGAGAGTTTCCCTCAATGACGACATTTGATGGGCATTTGAGTGCCATAACATGTCGAAAGCAATCAATCTTAGGCTTGTTGGATTCAAATTGTCGAGAAACTTGATTTAATTATAACTTGTCAAATTCGACATTTGTTTGACCTTCAAAATGTGTTAAAAAAACTTCTAAAAAATAGTTTAATTGCTTGATCGAGGCTCAATTTTGTTCAAATTGGATCGATGTTGGTACCATTGGGTCCATCCCTTCAAACCGGTTAGTTTGACTATATGTTAGCTGAAATCAGAGCACTGGAAGACTTTTAATCAAAGTTTGAGTTTTTTTTGCTCTAAAGCTCGCTTTAAGATCTGTGTCATGCCTCAAGATTTGCGCAATATGATGAAAATTTGTTGGAAGCGAATCACTTATATATATATATATATA